CTACAAGAACTGGATTAAAGAACCAGTTCCATAAAGAGTTTTATTTATCTTTCTTTATTTCTAGTTGAAAGTGTAGTAGGCGTTTTGAGTTTTACCTTTCAGCTTTCTTACAAGCAGATTGTACTAGGTACCTTAGTTATATTATTCAAGTTAGAGTTAACTTGAAGTAGTCGCAACATCCTGTGGCATGTTGCTAAAAGGGTTAGAGTTAATCCTTAGGTTTGCAAGAGGTTGTAAACTCGAGTTGTATCTTTCAAGTTAGAGTTAACTTGAAGTAGTCGCAACAGCTTGTAGCTGGTTGCAAGGGTTAGAGTTAATCCTTAGGTTTGCAAGAGGTTGTAAACTTTATTATTAGCTCAGAGTTGTTGTGAAATATTTGGGGGAAATCCTACTGGGTAGTAGGTCGTGGTTTTTTCACCTATGAGCCGGGTGTTTTTCACATAAAAATCCTTGTGTTCTTTACTTTCTGCATTATTTGTTCCGCAATAGTAGATTAAGGAATGCATAGAAGAACCAGATCCTTCGATAATCCAGTGCATGTGAAATTTGGGGAACACACAAATCATCCTCCCCCACGTCTCTTGTGTGGTATTGAAGTATAAAACATCACCTTCTAGCTCTAATCTCATGGCTTCTGCCAATTTTGCTAGTATGTTACTTCCCCGAAAAGGTGTGCCTTCTGACCATATGACATCTGTTAAGAACTTACTTTTTAATGTTCAAACCTTGCATGTTCCTTATCTTGTGTCTCTTCCCAATGGATATAAAGTCAAGGTTACTAATACTGGTTCATTGGCTCTATTTTCTGACTTAATACTTCACAATATCCTTTATATTCCTAGCTTCCAATATAATCTCATTAGCGTCACAAGCTATTGTGTCATGATGTTGACATTGTACAGTTCACCAAGTCTGCTTGTACTTTATAGGGCCCTTCAGTGAAGAATCCAGTAGTACTTGGGAGACTGGAGAGTGGTCTTTACAAACTATTTCAGCATGCAAATCGACTTGCTCAACAAATTTCTTCTCCCTGTTCCCCTACTTCTTTTACTTATGTTCCTTATGTTTCATATTCTGCCCCTGTAGTTAATTCCAATGAACATGTTGATGTTACAACTGTAATTACCATTGTGGCAAATAATAAAGTGAACATTGTTGACGTTGTGTGGCATTGTAGACTTGGATACATTCCTTTCTATAAATGAAGCACATTTTCAATATTAATTGTAAGTTCTCACCTAATCAGTCTTTTGTATGTCTTGTGTGTCGTTTAGCAAGACAAACTAGACTGCCTTTCCTTGACAAGTCCATGTAGTCCACAACACCTTTTCAACTCATTCATGTAGACACTTGGGAGCCTTATTCTACACCTACCTACAATGGCTCCAAATATTTTCTAACCATAGTTGATGATTATACTAGGTCTACTTGGACTCACTTAATAGGTGACAAAATTAATGCTTTTGATCTTCTGAAGAGTTTTGTTACCATGGTTGAAACTTAGTTTCAGTCTCAAGTTAGGACTGTCAGGAGTGATAATACATTAGAGTTGGGGTCTAGTGCAAATGGCTGTAGCTATTTTTCTAGCAAAAGGCATTTTGCATCAAATATCATGTCCCTATACCCCACAACAAAATGGGATTGTAGAGAGAAAACATAGGCATCTCTTAGAAAGTGCTAGAGCTCTTCTATTTCAATCTCATCTTCCTATTAGATTTTGGGGAGATTGTGTTCTTACTGCAACTTGCCTTATCAATTGATTCCCTTATGATATACTATTTGGAAAGAATCCTTATGAGTTCTTATTTGGTTTTGTACCTAATTACTCTCATCTTAGAGCTTTTGGGTTCCTGTGTTATTTTACAGATACCAAGCCCTAAAAGCATATGTTCCTTTCTAGATCAATTCCTTGTGTTTTTTTTGTTGGGTATCACTTTTCCAAAACGGGGTATAAACTCTACAACCTGCTTCTAAGACTTGTTTTGTTTCCATATATGTTACTTTTCATGAGCATATCTTCCCTTCCTTCACTCTATTAATAATCCCTCTCAGTCTCTTCCTTATCCTAGTCCTGCTTCCTTTCATCCCTTCCCTTTTGTTTCCACTCTTGTTAATGACTCTCCTTCTATTTCTTCCTCTCCTTCCTCACCTTCTGGATCTTTCCATTTCTCTCCTTCCAGTCCCTCCTTTTCCCTTGCTACTTTCTCCTCATCTTCTCCATCTCCTGCTCCTACTGTTTTCACTCCTCCTCCAACCTTGAGGAGGTCTTCTAGACCATACAATTCTCCTGGTTATCTCAAGGATTTTATTTTCCATTCTTCTTCTTTGGTCCTTGCCTCTAGTACATCTGCTCCTACTGTTACTCACATATATGTTCGTGAGCCTCACTCTTATCTTAGGCAGCAATTGTCCCTGAATGGTAGGATGCTATGAGAAAGGAATTTACGTCTAATAAGACTTGAGAAATAGTTGAGTTACCCAAAGGCAAAAAATCAATTGGTTACAAATAGGTATAAAACGTTAAGTACAAAGCTGATGGAAATGTAGAGAGGTACAAAAAGCCAGACATGTAGTTAGGGGTGACACTCAGGTAGAGGGTGTTGACTTTCATGGAACTTTTTCCCCTGTTGTTAAGATGTCCATTATCAAGACCTTAATTGTTGTAGCTATAAAGCAGAATTGGTATTTGTTTCAACTCGATGTTAATAATGCTTTCTTGCATGGTGATCTTGATAAGGAAGTCCTCATGAAGTTGCCTCCTGGTCTTTCTGTCCCTTCTTCTTCTTCTTCTTCTTCTTCTTCTTCTTCTTTTCTTCCGTTGGTGTGTAGACTACATAAATCTCTATATGGACTGATACAAGCTTCTAGACAATGGTATGCCAAGCTATCTCAAGCCTTGCACTCTAGAGGCTATGGTCATTCTCTCAATGACTACTCCTTGTTTACTAGAAGTTCTGGCAGTTCTCTGGTCATTCTTGTTGTTTATGTAGATGGTATTATTCTTATAAGGGCTGATCTCTATGAAATTTCTTCATTAAAGAGTTTTTTGGATGATCAATTCAAAATCAAAGATTTGGGGTCTCTTAATTGTTTTCTTGGTATTGAGGTATTACATACTACTTCTGGGGTTCTCCTACATCAAAGGTAGTTCATCCTTGACCTTTTAACTGAGTTCCATTCCTCTAAATGCTCTCTTATTACTTGTCCTCTTGAGCTGAATGTTAAGTTGAAGGCTGGAGTTGGTGATCCCCTTCCTAAACCCGAGGAGTACAGATGTCTGGTTTGTAGGCTTAATTTTCTTACTCATACCAGACCCGATCTTAGCTCTGCTGTGCAGCACCTTAGCCAGTTTATGCACCAGCCTTGTGCGTCTTACATGAAGGGTGCCTTACATCTGCTCAGATATCTGCAGGGTACTTCTGATTTTGGCATTTTCTTTAACAATTCTTCTGATTTGTCTTTACAAGTTTATTGTGGTAGTGACTGGGCTCATGCCCTGATAGTCAAAGGTCTTTTTCTGGCTTTTGTATCTTCCTTGGCAGGAGTCTGATTGGTTGGAAATCCAAGAAGTAGGCTGTGATTTCTTTGTCTTTAGCTGAAGCAGAATACAGGTCCATGAGTAAAGTTGTGGCAGAAATTACTTGGATTTGCAGGCTGCTTGGTGATTTTGGCATTCCTTCTGCTCTTCATGTTTCTTTTTTTTTTTGTGATAGTATGTTTGCCATCCACATTGCCAGGAATCCAGTCTTTCACGAGCGGACAAAGCACATTGAACTGGATTGCCATTTTGTTAGGAGCAAGCTTGCTGAAAGGCTGATTTCCTTGTCTCACACTTCTAGTGCCTCCCAGCTTGCTGATGTCTTCACCAAAATCCTGCCTGGCCCTGCTCATCATTTGCACATTCTCAAGTTGGGGGTTTTGTCACCCTCCACTTGCGGGGGGCTGTTGGAACTATATATATGGATTGATATCTCTTTTGGTTTATACAGGCCAAGTGTATTTATTCTGTATGTAATAGATATGTCCAATTTAGTGCTAATTAGTTTGGGCCAAAGAGCTCACGTATAAACAGTACAAAGACCCGAGTTATTAGACAAAGGACTATTATTTTCTTTTCTAATCAAAATATATGGAAGATTCTCTCTCTTTTCTCTCTCAAATGCCTCACTGTAACCTTAATTTCGTTGATCAGATTTACTCGTGTAATGATTGTTCACAAAATTTTATTATTTCACATACATTTCTGAATTCTTTAACCCGCATCTATAAAGCTACATCTATCATTGATACGAAGTGTATTCTAGAAAATATCATGGTTTTACTAGGAAGAGTTGTAAAAAAGTGTTAAAACTTTATAATATGTTAGTGCAAATTCCTTGGAGAATGATTAGACTTTTATATATGATTTAGGAAAGTCCCTGTTGTTGTTGAGAAGAAAAAGCCCCCTCATAATTCTGATTTTCATGGTGATTCATCAAGAGTTAGAGAAGAAGATGAGATGAAGAAGAAGAAGAAGCAGATTTAATGGCTTCAGTGGTTTCAGACCAAAGTAAAGAGTGTTCGACACAACCTAAGTCTATAAGTGATGATTATTAGACTTTTGGATATACACGTGGAGAATCCAAGACCCTTGGATTAAGCTAGCTAAATCCTTGATGGATTAAATGAAGACCATCTGATGAAATAAGAGCTGGAAACTTCCCTCACGTGAAAGCCATGTGAGGGAATATTAGTTAGTTATGAATAAACTAATTAGAGTAGGACACATGTAGAGATATTCTTTATGCGTTTTCTTTTTATTTTATTATTCTTTTTCTAGCAAGTGTATATATAGACATGTACTGGATATTGATGAATATAACAGAGAAAATTTTTCAGATCTGATTGTTCATTTTCGTTCATGGTATCAGAGCAATAGCTCGATCCAACAGTCCAAAGGATTGAAATATTTACATCATCTGATTCCCTATAATCAAACTCATCATATTCACTAAGCTAAAATGGGTGACACAAGCAAATCTGCAGATAGCACTAGTACTGGAAAAGCTGTAGCCTATGACATCAATCACCCATACTTCCTCAACAATTCTGACTCTCCTGGGATGACTCTAGTCAATACTTTATTTGATGGAAGAGGATATCCAGGTTGGAGGAGATCTATTTTGTTGTCTCTGTCAGCTAAGAAAAAGCTTGGGTTCATCAATGGAGCCTGCGAATCTCCAGATGTGGGTTCCCCAGATCTTGAACAATGGAGCTGTGTCAATGACATGGTGATTTCCTGAATTTTTAATGCTCTTTCTAAAGATATCGCAGACAGTGTGATATACTCCAAAACTGCAAAGGAGCTTTGGGATAGCCTGGAGCAGAGGTTTGGAAAATCAAATGGAGCCAAGCTGTATCATCTGCAAAAGGAGATGTCAGGATTAGTCCAAGGAAATAGCGACATTGCAGGATATTTCACCAAACTCAAACGTTTATAGGATGAATTGGATGCTTTAAATGTGGTGATATGTTGCTCTTGTGTGTGTACTTGTGAAGGAAAAGCAAAACTAACAAAATCACTTGAAGATCAGAGGTTAATTCAATTCCTAATGGGATTGAATGACATCTATGCACAAGCTAGAGGAAACATACTGATGATGAATCCCTTGCCCAGCATAGATGTAGCATATTCTCTTCTTTTGCACGATGAAAATCAGAGAGAAGTTTATGCAAATGCACATTTTAACTCAGATTCATTGTCCTTCATGGCAACAGGAGAAGTGAAACAACCTAATGCTCAGCTTCTAGCTGATTTTGCAGCTTTTATGGTCACAGGGCAGGGGAGGAACTTTCAGAAAAACAGGAACCAATCACAAAGACCAACAACTATGGGAACAAAGTATAACAATTCAGCACAGAAATTCAACAAACCACAGCAGAAGTTTAAAGCAAAGAAGAAGTACAATCCAAATGTGTCTTGTACTTATTGTGGAAAAATAGGGCACACTCAAGAGGATTGTTACAGAATCATTGGATTCCCAGATGATTTTGAGTTCACCAATCAAAAGAACTATCAAAATCATATCAAGGCAAATGCAGTCCTGACTCATGAAGATAATGAAAATCAGACAGGACAGAATACTGAAAACAACAACAATTTTGGACAGCACCTTAACAAGGAACAACTTGCAGAAATGGTGAGCATGTACAAGCAAGCAAAATTGGCACAAGCAGGAAATTCAGGAATAAATGCTAATGCAGTTGCTGGTACTATTCTAAAGTACTCAGGTTCAGTATTTACTACTCTAAATTCTGACACCTGGATCATTGATTCAGGTGCTTCAGAGTATATGTGTTTTGATCCCAATTCTTTCTTGTTTCTAACTCAACTTCCTGTTCCTTTGAACATCAATTTACCTAATTAATTCAAGGTAATTGTTACTCATATAGGAAGTATTTCTATTCTGCCAGGTCATGTCATAAATAATGTCTTACATATTCCAGATTTCAAGTATAATCTACTATCAGTACATAGGTTTTGCATTCAGTTCCAATATGATGTATTATTCACACCTATTAAGTGTGTGTTGCAGGGCCTTTCAATGAAGAGTCCACAAGCTTTTGGTGAAGTTAGAGAGGGTCTCTACATATTGGAACCTAGGAATCTTAAGTCTAAGGGAATATTCAGTAGTAATGTACTTTCAATTCAAAAAGGAAGAAATTCCATTTCAGAGTCTATGTTTTTTTCTAGTCCTGTTCATGTTAATGCTGTTTCTGATATTAAGCTTTGGCATGTAAGGTTGGGACATCTCCCATTTTCAGCAATGAAACATTTAGATTTCCTTCATTGTGACTCAAATTCTGATTTCATTTGTGATGTTTGTCCTAAGGCTAGGCAGACAAGGAAACCTTTCCCTGTCAGCACTATTAAATCTAGAAATATATTTGACCTTATACATGTAGATACATGAGGACCCTACAAGTCCAATACCTATAATGGATTTAGATATTTTCTCACTATAGTGGATGACTACAGTAGAGGAACATGGACATTTTTGCTGTCTTCTAAGAGCAATGCATTTCCTATGCTAAAATCATTCTTGTCCATGGTGGAAAGACAGTTCAGTACAAAAGTAAAGATGATAAGGTCTGACAATGCTTTAGAATTGGGGAAAGGGTCACAAGAAGCAGCTTTCCTTGCTTCAGAAGGAATTATACATCGGTGTCTTGTGTAGCAACACCTCAACAAAATGGGATTGTTGAGAGGAAACATAGACACCTTTTAGAAGTTGCTAGAGGTCTTATGTTTCAATCCAGGTTACCTATATCATATTGGGGTGAATCTATTCTGACTGCAACACACATTATCAATAGATTGCCTTCTAGTGTTCCCCAAGGAAAAACTCCTTTTGAAGTTCTTTTTCATCACAAACCTAAGTATGACTATTTCAGGAATTTTGGATGTCTATGCTATGCCTCTACTTTGAAGCAAGGTAGAGGTTGTCACACCTCCTTTTTCCTACACCTGTGAGGGTGTAAAGGAGTTTTTCCAATTAAAGGACAGTCAGAACGGGATTTATTATTAATATTCAGAGTCGCCACTTGGGAGATTAATGGTGTCCCAAGTCACCGGTTGAATCCCGATCCGAGGAAATTATGACTCTGTTAACAGTCCGCGAACCAGAACTCCGAGAAAGGAATTCTGTTAACCCGGGAGAAGGTATTAGGCATTCTCGGGTTCCGTGGTTCTAGCACGGTCGCTCAACTGTTGTATTTGCTTTTATCTGATTTTAAAACATATTCTAACCTATGTGCCTTTTATTTTAACCGCTTTTATTTTATGTCTTTTTAATAAGAATTGTAACGTCGCGAAAATGTATCTCGAACCACGTCACACCAGTGCACCCGTGGCTTTCGACGCATTTTGACTCCGTTGAGATTTGGGTCACATAAATGTGCACCCGCATTCAGGAAGGTAATATTATTAAAATATGCGCCTAAAGCAGCTACGCTTTTATTATCTTTGGGGAAAACCGTGAAATTCGCTAACGGTTCACCCGAATTCTAAGTATTTTAACAGGAACCTTTAAAGAGGGCCTCGCAATTTATGCATTTGGTTTGGCGGGGCTCGCCTCCTTTTATTATGTAAAGGGCGATCTAAAGGAACTATGATTTTTATTATATATTGTCATTTAAAATAGAAGAAAAGGCCCTAATGAATTAACACTACTAATAATCCATCCATAGAAGTATTACGTCACGATATTGAATCAAACTTAATAAACAAACTAAGATCTTCAGCAGATTGGGCTTCAAAGCAACCCCAAAGGAGAAATTATTTAACTATAAGAGAGGGAGAGGGCTTTCCAGCACTGGGCCTTAAGCAGAGTCGGGCCCAAGTCTGGTTTGAGCAAAGAAGCGGTTACGTTTGGGGCCTTAGAGGAGCCCAAATCTCTTACTGATTTTATTTGCATCTTGGTTTACTGATTCACTCACCACTGCCTTCATTATTGGCCATAACACAATCAACTCTAAATTCAATCTAACATGCTACCCTTTGAATCCAATTATCCTACACATATTCAACTAATTTATACAAGGTTAACCAAACATGTTAAATTCTTATGAATTTCGGTGCGTGGATTAAATCTGTAAGTGAAGCAACTAGATTAACTAGCGTATGAACAATTACAAAATACCACTGCTCTTGTACTATTACCAACGTGCATCTATTTTGAGTTCTATCTCAACTTCTAAGGGATATGATAACTAAATCTGAATTAATTGTATTACCCTTGATATTTACTACTATACTAACACTATTCTGTATCAAGCTACTACTAGATGAGGAATATCAAGTTTAAAAATCACAAACAGTCCCAAGCAGTCCAAATTATACAACCCAGGAACCATGTAAACACAAATCAAACTTAAACTTAAGTATATACAGATCAACTACTATTTATTCAACCAGGGCAGCCCGGACAAACACATTTCAAGAGGCAGAGGGCTGAGCATTTCATTTCATCTTTTCACTTCAAAGCTACTTCAAATTAGTTTCAAATGTGTACCTGGAAGTGTAAAGTAATAGAGAAAAGAGGAATGTCAGCAGCAGTTCAGCGAATCACAGCAACAGGAATCAACAATATCACAGCAGTTCAGCAGCACATATCAGAGGTCCATAAGCCCAGAAAACCATATCAACCATCCAAGACCACTTTTAATCAATGACACACCCAAAACAGTTCACATATACCCAAAGCTAACTCGAATTTAAACCCAGAGCACTTCTGAAACTTCAGTCAACCAAACACAAGGATTTTCAAGTTGTTTTCCTCTTTAAACTAGCCAGAGATTCGAGACAATTGCTGAAACAAACTAAAAATTGATCCAAGGAACTCAAATGTAACAGTGTTTTTGACTTTTTCTGTTATATTTTTTTGATTTTTTTTTGAATTTTTGAAGAAAAGCTAAGATCTAAAGGAGTTTGGATTTGAATTTCTGTTATATGAAAACTTGAAGAATGTTTTTTGGGAGGAATTTTAGAGCTGAAAAACTTGTGAATGAAGTAAGGGTCATGCCCTTTTATAGGCACAAATGAGGTCTCTCATATTTTCAGTGTTTCTTTGTTAGTCCTTATTCATTTTCACCCTTGGTCCTTTATTTTTAAGCTTGTTGCACAAGTAAACCCACCATGTTTTCCTAAGATCCCAAATTAAACCCACTCTAGAGGGTTCTAGAGAATTCTAGTTCAGTTTTTAAAAGATCCTCTACCCATGAATTGCCCCAATCACCCCTGCTTTATTCCTGAAACCACTACCCTATCCCCAACCCAATTCTTCTAACTAACCATGGTTCAAATAATCTTTTCCTGCAAATTAAACAACTAACAAATCCATATCACAAATCCTAAAGTCAAACAGCTACTGAATTTCGAATTACAAGCTACCACTATCTATAAACACCACCAAAACAAAAGAAATCCAATGCTGGTAAACAAAGGAGAAATCCAGGAACAGGCAGAAATATTGGCCCAAAGACCAGTCCACCTTCTCTAATTTGTTTTTTTTTTTTTGTAAAACAAAATTTTGTTTTATTTCTTTTACTTATCTTTGTTTTCATTTTGTACTTTTTATATTTTCACACTTTATAAAGAAAAATGCAAAAAATTAAAATAAAGACCTAAATATATTTTCAAGGTTAAGCTAATTAAATCCTAAAATTATTTAAAAATCTATTTCGTGACGAATTCACAATTAAACAATTAAAAATGCAAAAGTGAACTATTTTTGTTATTTTCCTTGTATTTTGTTCTAAAACAAATTAATCCCTAATTAATCCTAAAATATGAAATTAAATCCTAAATGCAAATGTCACGTGTATATTTTTTTTATATTTTCATATGAATTAAAATGCACAAATAAATGCAAACAATTAGCATAAGATGTCACAAAAATCCACAAAATTGCAAAATGATGAAAGAAATCATTTTGTTTGAATTTTTGGGAATAATTCACATAGGGCAAAAATCACGTGCTCATAGGAACTAGGTTTGCATTTGAAGAGTCGCCACCTAATGATTAATGTGCATTAGGACACCAATAGAGATTCAATTCTAAGTTTGTTTGAATAACCAAAGATTGGGTTAGGGCTTAAAATTATCCCAAGGGGAAGGTGTTAGGCACCCCTCAGGATCCACTAGCGTGGTTCCCGGCCAGACAGTTACTGTGAATTTTAGGTGCAATTAACATATAAGCAGATAAGGTTCAAATAAGAAGGGATTACAGTACACAATAGTTTGGAAGTAAACAAAGTTTGAAAGAGCAATTAAAAGAGCGGATTTTAAACAGGAATTGCAATGCTTTTAAAGGAAAAGGGAAGTGAAGGAAGGGGGTCCTAGGTTTGTATTTAATATGGATCACATCAATGCAACACACGGTAATCGCTCCTCAAGAGAGGGGCTACACGTGGTATTAACGCACCGGTCATCATATCCATATCTACCCTTCCCACTCCGTTAAGGTATTTAAGCGCGGATTGGTCTCGATTACTTATTGCATGCGATTACCCGTCCCATTCCTATCAGTCCCGGAGGCGCTTAGGACTACTAATCCTAAAAGGGAGGGATATTAGGCTTATTTGAAGTTTCAAAGGTAAAAATTCTAAGGCGACATACAAAACATATAAAGACTGCACATTAAAGGGGAAACACATAAACACATAAGGCTCAAGTATACCTCCTCCAAACAAAACAATGCAATAGCACGACTTAAAAAAATGAATAAGGTCTGATTCTAAAATATATACTTGAGGGAAGAGGAGATTGTTGTATTGCAGCAGGCCTGGCTTATTACATGACTCAGTTAGGAAACAGAATCGGGCCTACCTGCTGATTGTAACAAATAACAGAGGCGAATTCAGTTTTATTTATATTGCCTAAGGTTTGCCTAAGTGTTTAGACAGGGTCCTATAGGCATGATATCTACTTAGTTCAGAAGGTGATGAGACAGTAGAACTCAAAACGAATTGTTTGAATTCTGTAGGCAGGCTTGCTAAAACTTATTAAGCAAGGGAATTAGATTATTGAAAAGAGGTTCAGGATGGACAAAATTAAATTAGACTGGTTGCAGATTCTGTAGGTGATAGTATCTACTATTACCGATTTTAATCCCTAGGAGCATGATATCTAACATTGACTGTGAATGAAGCTAATCAGATTTATTTAAGAGTCCTTATAGGCATGATTTCTATGCGTTACTGATTTCAGCATGCTACTGGGTTATAATCAATTGGGCCCTAAAACATGATATCTAAACGGTGACAAAATGTGCAGAATTTTAGATGATCCCTATAGGCAGGTTATCTAGATATGAAGTTGAACAAGAAGTCCTATAGACATGGTTTCTAAATGCAGTTTGCAGCATTAAAATACCCTATAGGCATGGTTTCTAAATGTAGTTTGAATATGCAAAAATTTAAAATAGTCCNTCCTGTTTTGAATAACCGTTTTACTCCTATAACCAAACAGCATAGAGGTGAGATATAACTTGATCAGAATCAATGACTAATTTTCAGCCCGAGTTATTATTTAGTTTGACAGGTTTACACAGAATACATAGATCGAATTGGCTAACAAATGCTGTCACTTCATCTTTAACCATCCAACTAATTACCAAACATGAGATTTCTAAGCTAATTAACATTCTACTACCAAAGTATAATTAGAACAGTTCATATCAAGCTACTGCAGTTCAAATTACACAATCCAGTCCTAACACAAAAGTCCATAAGATTCCAGAGAATGAATTGATAAACTTGTAGTCAGTTATACATTCAGTAATCCAACACATGCTTAGGAGTTTTATTTGACATCAAATTAAAGCAAACAAAGAGGAAATTCAATAGGCAAGGTTTGCCAGCACTTCATTTCACTTCAAATGATTTGAGAGACACAAATGTGTACCTGAATATTGGACAGAAATGAGAGAAGCGAGGTCAGTTCAATCCAATAACAAGCAACAGCGCAGCAAAGCCACAACAATAACCCAAGAGTGATTTCAGCAAATCAACAAGGAATAATAACACAGCAACCGGATCAATTTCAACTCCAAAAATACCCAATGCACACCCAGGAATGACAATCAACAGAATAAACACCCAATAGATGATCAAACAGCTTAATTGAACCCAAAAACACTTGAAATTAACTCTAGTAAACCTCTGAAACTTCAGCAATCAAATGTTGAACTGAATGCTGAAATTAAACTGAATTTTTCGATGAAAACAGTCTTTTTTTTTTGGTTTTTCTACTGATTTTTCTATTGTTTTATGATTTTTGGGGTAGAATTTAAGACTTAAAGAGAGTTTTGAACTTCTAGTGATTTGAAATTCAAATTGAAGCTAGATCTGCCGAGAGGGTTTTGGGGGAAGATTTTTGGAGGCTCAAAACTTTTGGGAATTTTCAGGGGTGTCTCCTCCTTCTAGTGAAGGCATTAGGAGTACCTTTTATAGGCAAAAAATGGGGCAGAAGGTTCTGGAATCTTTTCACTATTTTCCCCCCTTTTTTATTTCAGATTTTACCTATTAAACCTTCAATTTCTAACTTGTTACACAAGTTACTGCCCTAAGTTTACTGAATCCTACACTAAAGTCCTATTCTAGAAGGCCCTAGGGTGTTCTTTTAGCTATACAATACCTATACTACCCTTGCCTTAGTTTTGAATTTACCAATCTTAATGAAACTACCCTTTTTCATGCCTAAACTACCCCTGAAACCCTCTTGGAATTACTGACCAACCCAAGCCCCTTTACTTTAATTAATATTGACTATGGTTAACCTTATTTAATCTAAATCAGCTATAACCAATCAATTAACCCTAACTACTGAATTAAGGAACAATCATTGAAGTGAATTAAACTAACACTAATTAAACTATCAAAACTATTGATTTAATCAAGCCAAACAGTATCCAAACAGAGTTGAAACAACAATTAAACTAAGATTAAAATGAAACAAAATCGAATTGCAAAACAATTATCCAAACAGACTAAAACACATTCAGCAATCAAACTACTGAATTAAAGGCTATAATCATGCGTTTAAAATCAAATACTGCACTAATTATTAAAATTGCTGGAACACATACTGAATAAAAAAATAAAAACAAAACAGAAAATAAAAGAAACAAAAAATCAGAATTAAAAGAAAGGGAAAAACAAAATACCTAATTGGATTATGAACTCGGCCAGGTCTTTGCAAACTTTGGACTGGAACTTGTCCTTAATCATGTGTTTCTATGAGAAACACAAGACTAAGGACTATCACAGTCCAAAAATAGACAGAAATCCGCAATTTGAAAATTAGGGTTTTGAATTCCTATTTCGATCTGAAATTTGAGGAGATGTAGGAGGATTTGGACAAAAGTGGTTATGGATTTGGGAAGAAAACCTTGGGGAGAACACATAGTGTGAAGCTGGGGTCGTTTGGTGGTGGCGCCGCCGTGTACGGCGGAGGCGGCGACCACTGCTTTGGTTATTCGAGGGGTTCGGATGGGATTTGAGAAAGAGCGAGGCTGGATTCATAATGGGGACGGTGAGGAGCAGCTGTGGTGTATTTTTGGGAGTATTTGGAGGTAGGCCGCCGGCGGAGACGATTTCCGGCCGGCGGCGACGGCGGAAGGCGACGGGGATTAGGGTTTGGGTTTGAGGGGTGTTCTGAGACGGGAAAGGGGGGTAGGGGGGAATTTTAGGACATTTTTATATTAATAAACCTAGTTAGTTCCGGACTGTTGGATTGATGAGATCCAACGGTCATGATTCAAGAACCAAAAACGGTGTCGTTAGACATTAAGGGGGCTGGACCGGGTTGGTAAAAGTGGGCTGGTTCAGGGTTGATGTAATTTTGGGCCTGGGGGTTGATTTAATACCTGGGCTCCGAATTTATTGACAATGGCCCAATTCAGGGCAGCCTTCTTATTATATTTTGTTTGTTTTCTTGTATTTATTTATTTTGCTTTTTGTATTTTATTTTCTGATTTTAAAAAATGCTAAAATAAAACTAAAAATAAATTGACTCTAACAATTATATTTCCTAATTAATTCCTAAAGAGAAATGCAAACTAATACCAAAAAATGCAAAATGGACCCTTTTTGTTATTTTCTTAACATTTTGTTCTAAAACAAATTAATACTAAAATATGAAATTAAATCTTAAATGCAAAAATGCATATTTTTGTATTTTCATATGAATTAAAATGTACAAATAAAAATGCAACAATTACCAAAAAAATGCCACAAAATTCACAAAAAATTACAAAATACTAAAGAAATTGTTTTGTTTGAAATTTTGGGAATTATTGTTTAGGGCAAAAATCACGTGCTCACAGAGGTAAGTTTGATGAGAGGGCAACAACCTGTGTCCTACTTGGTTATCCAATGCAACAAAAGGGTTACAAGCTTTTGGAGCTATCTACAAGGAAAGTTTTTGTGTCTAGGGATGTGGAGTTTCATGAATCACACTTTCCCTTTACAGAAACAAACACAGCACATCATCCCATCTTTCCAACTTCAACTTCCACCACAGAACCTACCTACTCAACCACATTCCAAGATACAACACCACCTTTTTCTCCAGAACATAATACATCAGATATTTTCTCACCACTGTCATCAAGTTCCCCTCATTTTTCTCATCACCATTCAATTTCCCCAACATCACCAACTTCAGTCCCTTCTAGTCTAGAGTCTTCTCACACTAGGACAATTTCTTCTGCACCTAGAGAACCTATACCTTTGAGAAGATCAGGAAGAGTTTCTACTCAACCAATCTACCTAAAAGACTTTGTTTGCAGCAGTATTATGTTAACAAATTTAGCAACAGCCTGTTTCAGTCAGCCCTGTGTCCCTAACGAGTACCGTTTTTCATCTCTCTCACCCAACAATCAACATGTCATGCAATCCCTCTCTACACTAACAGAACCCTCTACTTTCAGCCAAGCTTGTCAACATCCAGGATGGGTAGAAGCTATGTCTGCAGAAATCAAAGCTCTAGAAGACAACCACACATGGGAAGTGGTTGAACTACCTAAAGGGAAAAGAGCTTTACCTTGTAAATGGGTGTACAAGGTGAAGCACTTGTCAGATGGCAGAATTGAGAGGTTGAAAGCAAGGTTGGTGGTCAGGGGGGATATTCAAAGAGAAGGAATAGATTACAGTTAGACCTTTTCACCAGTGGTGAAAATGACAACCATAAGGTGTCTGCTCACTGTTGCAGCCAAGAAGAATTGGAATGTGTCTCAGCTAGATGTCAACAATGCATTCTTGCATGGCGATTTGCAAGAGGAAGTATATATGAAATTTCCAGCAGGTTTAGATCCCCCTAGTCCTAAGCATATTTGTCTCTTGAAGAAGTCACTCTATGGTTTAAAGCAAGCGTCTAGGCAGTGGTATCCTAGGCTAGCAGGGGCTCTAAGTTTTAAAGGATACTCTTCTTCAATGAATGACTATTCTTTGTTCTTTAAACGCACAAATGGTCTTATCTCTATCTTAGCTGTTTATGTTGACGACATCCTAATCACAGGAGACGACTTAGCAGAAATTCAAGACATTAAAGACTTTCTCAATTCTGAATTTAAAGTCAAGAACTTGGGAAGTATACACTATTTTTTAGGTATGTAAGTCTTGAGAGAACAAGCAGGATTCATTGTGAGTCAAAGAAAGTTCACCTTAGACATGTTGCAAGAATTTGATATGTCTCATTTGCCTAAAGTCAGTTCTCCTTTGGATCCTGCACTCAAGCTTCAGGCTGATGATGGAGAATACCTGCAAAATCCAACTTTGTTTCGTCATCTAGTCGGAAAGCTGAATTATTTAACAAATACAAGACCAGATCTTTCATTTGCAGTTCTTACCCTCAGTCAATATATGCAGAAACCATGTGTGTCACACCTCTCTGCTGCTTTGCGAGTTCTCAAATATCTCAGTTCTGATCCTGGACAAGGAATCCTCTTATCAGCAGCGTCGTCTTTCTCTTTGCTCGCTTTCTGTGATGCTGACTGGGCTTCCTGCAGGGATTCAAGAAGGTCTGTTAGTGGTTTCTTTATAACTCTAGGAGGAGCTCCCATCTCCTGGAAATCAAAGAAACAGATCTCAATTTCTTTGTCTTCTGCCGAAGCAGAGTATAGATCTATGCGAAGGGTTACTGCGGAGCTTACCTGGTTGGTACGAATTCTCGAGGATCTATCAGCACCAATTACTCTACCAATTTCCCTTCACTCTGATAGCAAGGCAGCTATTCACATCGCCCGGAATCCGGTTTTTCATGAACGCACAAAACATGTCGAAATTGACTGTCATTTTGTGCGTCAACAATTTCTCTCAGGCCTAATTACTCTCTCTTTCGTTCCTTCTAAAGCCCAACTTGCAGACATCTTCACGAAACCTCTTTCTGGGGTTTCTCATCGAGATATCTTGGGCAAGTTAGGAGTCACCAAGTTTCCCTCTAACTTGAGGGGGATGTTGAGAAGAAAAAGCCCCCTCATAATTCTGATTTTCATGGTGATTCATCAAGAGTTAGAGAAGAAGATGAGATGAAGAAGAAGAAGCAGATTTAATGGCTTCAGTGATTTCAGACCAAAGTAAAGAGTGTTCGATACAACCTAAGTCTATAAGTGATGATTATTAGACTTTTGGATATACACGTGGAGAATCCAAGACCCTTGGATTAAGCTAGCTAAATCCTTGATGGATTAAATGAAGACCATCTGATGAAATAAGAGCTGGAAACTTCCCTCACGTGAAAGCCATGTGAGGGAATATTAGTTAGTTATGAATAAACTAATTAGAGTAGGACGCATGTACAAATATTCTTTATGTGTTTTCTTTTTATTTTATTATTCTTTTTCTAGCAAGTGTATATATAGACATGTACTGGATATTGATGAATATAACAGAGAAAATTTTTCAGATCTGATTGTTCATTTTCGTTCAGTTGTTTGCTTTCTTGTTTCTGAACCTGCTTCATTTGGTTTGTTTAAAGCAAACAACTGAACTTGTACAAGCTTATATGGTCAATCCATTCGTTTAATAATCAAATTACTCGTGACTACAAGGAATTTGCCCTTTGGATTCGATCCCAGTCAAAGTTAATCACAACTTATATTTCATTGGGTATATTTATAAAAAATACGAAATTTAAGTTTCCTATATAGTCAATATATAGTGACAACACAGTTGTAAAAGCATTTGTAGACTAAAACAAATGGTATACTCCTATATATTCTTTTTTGTTTGTTCAAAAAGAAATGATAGTAATTTTTTATATTTAAAAACTTTTTAATTTTAAATTTCTCATCTTCTAAAATCTGAAATTTAACCTTGATTTTTCAAAGCCAGGCGTAACATTGAAGTATAATGTGAATTCAAAAATCGTAAATTGTTCCTAATCCTGATTTTCCTAGATAACACTAGTAAAAAAAGTTCAAAACCTAGTAATCTTGAATTTTATAACTAAATGTTAAAAATAGCGGAAGTATAATGTGAATTCAAAAATCGTGAATCATTCATAAATTTTGCATTAGTAAAGGTTCAAAACTAGTAATTTACTCTAAATTTTATATTTAAAGGTTAAGCATTATTGAAGTACAATGTGAATTCAAAAATCATTAATCATTCCTGGATTTTTCTGTATTTTAAACCAGTAAAGGTTCAAAAATTAGTAATTTATCCTAGATTTTGTATTTAAAGGTTAAAAATTATTAAAGTATAATGCGAATTCAAAAACCATGAATCGCTCATGAATTTTACACTAGTAGAGGTTAAAACTAGTAATTTATTTTGAATTTTGCTTTTAAAGGTTAAAATTATTGAAGTACAATGTGAATTTAAATCATAAATCGTTTTCTGGATTTTCCTGTATTTTGCACTAGTAAAGGTTCAAAAACCGATAATCTAACCAGTTTGTATTTAAAGTTAAAAATTGTTGAAGTATAATGTAAATTCAAAAATCATGAATTTTCATGAATTTTGCACTAATAAAGGTTCAAAAACAGGAATCGTTTGAATTTTATACTAGTAACGATTCAAAATTGCTTAAGTACACTATAAATACAAATCAGGAACCGTTTATGAATTTTGCACTAGTATATATTTAAAAATTAGGAATCGTTCCTGAATTTTGCTCTAGTAAAGGTTCAAAATTAGGAGTCATTCGTTCAACAACTTTTAAACTCCAATTATCACGACCCGGAATTCCACCGTCGGGATCGTGATGGCGCCTATCATTTTACTTTCTAGGCAAGCCAACGTTAGAAAAATTTACTTCTTTTAGCATCTTAAACGATAACATTAATAACGAACTGAAATAACAGATACGTTCTAAGTACAAATGCAGAAGCTAAACAACCAACGTCTATTACAATTCCCTGAACCTGGTGTGACAAGTGCACGAGCTTCTAGAGTAATACACATAAAGGTTTGAAATAAGTAAAAAGGTGTCTGAATGAAGTTGTACAGCTAGAAGAAAAGAGTATGGGGACTCCAGGAGCTGCGGGCGCTGAACAGT